CCCCCAATTAATTTTTAAAAGCCTGTTAAGTGTATGTGTAATAAAAGGAAAACAGATTAATCTAGCCACTTTCTTAGATCTTGAGTTCTTGCCTGTGGCAGTTCTGGGACTGCCAGAAGCACAGTACTTTTTCTTTTTTTTTTTTTTTTTCTTCCAAACTGCTGCTGTTGACCACTAAAGCACAGAGAGATTACACTCTGAGCAAAGCGTCTTGGCGCTGTTGTAAAGTTGCTTGGGCACTGCTTCAGGAAAATCTTTAAATGGTTGCTCTCTTGGGCAGGGGCCCAGGGCCAAAAGATCAGATGGGGAAGCTCCTAGAACAGCAGTCAGGAGGGCTTCTGTCCTAAGCTGTGCTGCCAGGCTGCCTGATCTAAACTTGGCTAGACCTGTTCTTAATACCTGCTGCCTTGCTGTCTGGTCCCAGGCTTCTCCAAGATAGCATGCCGGGCCAGTCTCAGCTGTGTATGTACAGGAGCCGTTGTGTTCTCCATGGGGTGTTCTAAGCACTTAATGAATATGCTGTATCTGCACATTTAATGGACACTGTTACAGCATTTTGAAAACTGATTATATGCTTGTCAGTGTTGCCCTATTCAATTGAATTGTATTATGTTTCTTTGAGATGCATCTCTGCCACTGTTATTGTAGTTTTGTATTTTCATGCTGATTCTGATGTTTTTGATTTCTGTGACTCCATTAACTTAAATTTGTCTCAGCAAGGTCAATGACAGATTTAAAAGAGGATCTAATCATGTGCTCATGCTATCAAGGTTTATGAATTATGTCTTCAAACAGTACCCAATTTTTAAGTATAAGTTGTGCTTAATTGACTAGAATGTACAAATTGTTTCATAATTCTTTTTTGATTATTAGAATGTGCACTAATTTTCCCTTATACTTGGCATTGTTTTTCTGTTTTTAGAATTTCTTGCAAGGGTAGGGGAAGTTAATTAGACTTCTTCAATATCAGTGTAGCTAAGCTGCATTCTAGCAAGGTGATCAAAGATCAGCTACAAGTTTCTGAACAAAAAAGGGCTTAATGCATTTGCTAGAAAGATGGGGAATATAATGACTTAAGCTTTTAACAGGATCATGCTACTTTCTGTTATACTTTCAGTATTCAGAATGACTTAAGGTAGTAGACTAAGTAATTAGTAGGCACACTGGCAGAGCAGTTCTGCATTTTGAGTTAGTTGCCTGAAGTTACATAATGCAAAAAAACCCTTTCCAACAAACACCAAAACATATGCTTATCTTCTTTGTTGGTAAAAATTGCCAATATTTTCTAAAATTCCCGAGTTTTATGTGTATCAGCAAAATAATAGCAGAATAATTGCACCAGGAAAAAACCCATAAAATTATGAAACTGTTTTCTCTTCAGCCTCTTTCTTTTTGTCATGGTGTGCAAATTAAGAATTACGAAAAGATGCTGAAGTACTGAAATAGTAGAAAACATGCATATAAGCTAAGTATTATTGCTCGAAATTTAGCTGATAAGATCACAATATTTCTTTTGATTCATCATATTATTCATACTTACAGAGCTGTTGGACTTTAGCTAAAGAGTGTTACAATAGTAGCTACAAGAAAGGAGAACATGAGGAAGCAGTATTACAGAGAATGTCTGTAAAGAAAGACAAATAAAAGTGAGTCAGTATGGGCAGGTGACTGATTTACTTCTGCCTTGCTGGCAGATATGTGTAAGCTATGATTGTCGTGGTTTAACCCCAGCTGGCAACTGAGCACCACACAGCCGCTCGCTCCGCGCCCCGCCCCCCCCCCGGGGGGAGGGGGGATAGAATCAGAAGGGTAAAAGTGAGAAAACTCGTGGGTTGAGATAAAGACAGTTTAACAGGGAAAGTAAAAGCCGCGTGTGCACGCGAAGCAAAACAAGGCATTCATTCACTGCTTCCTATCGGCAGGGAGGTGTTCAGCCATCTCCAGGAAAGCAGGGCTCCATCATGTGTAATGGTGACTTGGGAAGACAAATGCCATCACTTCGAACATCCCCCCCTTCCTTCTTCTTCACCCCAGCTTTATATACTGAGCATGACGTCATATGGTATGGAATACCCCATTGGTCAATTGGGTCAGCTGTCCTGACTATGCTCCCTCCCAGCTTCTTGTGCACCTGGCCGAGCATGGGAAGTTGAAAAGTCCTTGACTAGCATAAATACTACTTAGCAACAACTAAAACATCAGTGTGTTATCAGCATTCTTCTCATCCTAAATCCAAAACACATCGCTATACCAACTACTAGGAAGAAAATTAACTCTATCCCAGACGAAACCAGGACAATGATAGAACTCCAAAAGAGGGGAAGAGAAAAAAAGGCACATTTGTTTGTGCCATGCTTCCAAAGGAGATGAATATCTCCATGAACAGTATTGAGGATCTTCTATTGGTTTGCCTAGTAAATATTTAAGATTTTTCCTTCTGTTATGACAGATTGTCTGCAGAAGTGCAAAACCTATAGAAATGGCAGTGAAGGAAAAGATTTCCATGTTTTGCCATGTGGAGCCTGAGCAGGTCAGTAGTTTAATATTTTATTATCATTACTTAAACATGTGGGAAAGCATACAAATATTTCTATGCACTTCTGATTTCAACTTCAGACTGTTTCATTCATATGTAATTGTTTTTACAGTTTTCATCTTGTACATTATATCACTTTAAAAATATTGGGAGTTAATATGTTAAATTTTATGTCAAATGGTCATTAACAATTTAAATGCATGTTATGTAAAAAGTTAATAAAAGGAGTAGATTTTGAGTGCACAGTTAATTGCTGTACATAGTTGTGAAAACCGTGCAGTTTCTAGCTATGGTTGGTTATTGTCCATAAATCATCTCAGGTGGTTATAATAATGGATGAACAAAGTGTGATTAAAGCTAGGGGTTTTGCTTATGTCCATAGATCATCACAGCCACATGAATGCTCTTATTGTGATAACATGTAATAGGCTATTCATGCCCTTTAACATGCTTAGAACATCTACTGTGTGGTTATATATCGTTTTAAAATTCATGTGTCATTTTGGCCTTAATAGTTTCTGTGATTAATTGCTATTCAAATATTAATTTTGATAAATCAAATGCTCTTTAATATTTTTGCAAGTGAGAACATTTTACTCTTCAATGTAATGGATGATATTAAAGGGATAATATATGCCAACAGTTATGCTGTATTTCAAATATGTATCAGTCTTGACCTCTCTGTCTGCAGGTGTGTAAGGAAAAGCTGTTTATAGTAAAATTCCAGATGAGGACATAGAGGGCAGTGTGGCCATTACTTCCCCCCCTTGCATCCATCTTACTATCTGTGGAAGACAACACCCTTGAGCTAGCTTCTGGATAATCCTTCAGAAATGCCTTTGTGGTTCCTCTCCAGCCAGAGAGAGACAACTGGAAAGTTCAATCAAACAAAACTGGTGTGTGCTTTTCTGGCAATATCAGGCCATGTGTAAGCATGTACATACTCAGATTCCAACTGCAGTTATTATGCCAGTATAACTGGACCAAGAATCCCATGTGTAAATGAACTTCCCTAAGAGCTCCCTGGCAGGGAGGAAGCTGTCTTCATGGCACTGCTTTTTTCCCAAAGTTCTGCCTTTTAGGGTAGAAGCTTCATAGTTGTACCAGTCACAGCTTTCATGAGAAGCTGAGTATATGATCCCGGGCAGAGTGCTGCACTCTTCTTATGCTGTTCTGGCTAGCTCAAATGTCTGGCCACACCACTGCATTGTAATACAGGTATGTCCCTGGCAGTTAGACTCAGTGGACTGAACTGGGATGGTGCTAGGTGCCGTACTGTGTGGCAGTCTTTTTTTTTTTTTTTTTTTTTCTTTCCTTCTTTTCATCTTCCCATCTTTCATCAACTGTATTCATCAGAATTCTGCAAAGCCATTCTTAAGTCCCCTGTGTGTCTTAAAATTAATGAACTACTTCTGGATTTCAGAAGACATTAGCCACATGTCTATATATTCCCTAGAATGATCCTGGATTTCTTGTGAACTGAAGGATTAGATGCATCATCAGTCATCTTTCTGGAGCTATGTGCGACGCCAGTAGAGAAGAAGTTACAGTTTATTTTGTGACTAGAACAGTGGTTTACAATCTCAAGGGGATGAATCTTTTCAGTCCACCTTTCTCATTTATTTACTGTTGTAGAATCACAGAATAGTTGAGGTTGGAAGGGAGGTCATCTGGTCCAACCTCCCTGTTCAAGCAGGGCCACCTAGAGCCAATTGCCCAGGACCATTATTCAGGCAGCTTTTGCATATCTCCAAATGGAGACTCCACAACCTCCCTGGGCAACCTGTGCCAGGGCTTGGTCACCCTCACAGTCAAAAAGTGTTTCCTTATGTTTAGAGGGAACCTCAAAAAGTGTTTCCTTGTGTTTAGAGGGAACCTCAAAAAGTGTTTCCTGATGTTTAGAGGGAACCTCAAAAAGTGTTTCCTGATGTTTAGAGGGAACCTCCTGTGTTTCAGTTTGTGCCCATTGCCTCTGGTCCTGTCAGTGGGCACCACGGAAGAGGGCCTGGCACCATCTTCTTTGCATCTTTTTCTCAGGTATTTCTGTACATTGATGAGATTGTTCACCCCTACCCCCGAACCTTCTCTTCTCCAGGCTCAACAGTCCCAGCTCTCTCAGCCTTTCCTCATTTGAGAGATGTTTCAGTCCCTTAATCACCTTCGTGGCCCTTTGCGAGCCATGGACTCTTTCCAGTATGTCCATGTCACTCTTGTACTGGGGAGCCCAGAACTGGACCCAGTACTCCAGGTGTGGCCTCACCAGTGCTGGGTAGAGGGGAAGGATCACTTCCCTCGACCTGCTGGCAATGCTCCTCCTAATGCAGTCCAGGATACCATTGGTTGGCTCATGTTCAACTTGGTGTCCACTAGGACACCCAGGTCTTTTTCTGCCAAGCTGCTTTCCAGCTGGGTGGCCTCCAGCATGTACTGGTGGCTGGGGTTGTTCCTCCCCAGCTGCAGGACTTTGCACTTCCCCTTGTTGAACTTCATGAGGTTCCTGTCAGCCCATTTCTCCTGCCTGTTGGCAGGATGGCAGCGTGACCCTCTGGCATATCAGCCACTCCTGCCACTTTGGTGTCATCTGAAAACTTGCGGAAGGTACACTCTGCCCCATCATTCAGATCATTAATGAAGATGTTAAACATGACTGGACTCAGTACTGACCCCTGTGGTACTCCGCTAGTTACTGGCTTTCAACTAGACCTTGTGCTGCTGATCATCACCCTCTGGGCCCAGCCATTTCACCAGTTTTCCTCACTGTCTGCTCATCCTGCCTGTACATGAACAGGTTGTCTATGAGGATCTTACAGGAGACAGTGTTAAAAGCCTTCCTGAAGTCCAGATAGGCAATATCCACTGCTCTCCTCTCATCTGCCAGGCCAGTCACTTCATCATAGAAGTTTATCAAGTTGGTCAAGTATGACCTCTCCTTAGTAAATCCATTCTGATGACTCCTGATGATTTTCTTATCTTTTGCGTGCCTGGAAATGGTTTCCAGGACTGTCATAACTAGTCCAGGAAGACCACGTGCTATTTTGTCCACAGACTTCCTGTAAGTGGATTTTTTTTTTTTTAATTTGCTTTTATCAAGTGAGTCCTCCCTCCTTGCTTCAATGTATGTACACCAAAACAAAAGCAGTGTCTTCAGCTTGTTTCAGCATTGTAACAGTCTCCATAGTCAGCACAGCTGTAACCTAGAGCAGGTAGTGATTCTGTCTTAATCTTACATCCTTAGGATGGTGGCTGCCAAGTTTGAAAGAAGAGTTGGATAAGCCTTATTCGTACTGTAGGAGGGCTGTGGTTACCCTATTCTTTTTGCTGTTGAATGGGCACATAGAGAGGCACGGGGCAGCATGCATGTGTACATATTTATGTGATGAACAGAAGTAACTCAAGGATAACTAAGTGAGTATCCTTTACTTCTCATGTGTATCAGGGAAGAGAACACTTGTGCTCAGGATTCTGAACTCTGGGGTCTCACGTAAGCCAAGCGCAATGAACTTAACTGCCAGCGGCTTGGACATGGTTTATAAATGTGTTCTTAACTAAATGGTCCTTGAATGAACTATACTAATTAATTAATTACATAACCTAATTCACTAACAAAATTCTTTTAGGAGACTTTATTGCAACCTAATTGGGTCTGCTTTGTTAGGTTCCATTTGTGTTCTTTCTTTCCCAGTTAATATTCTTCAAGTTTGTGAGAGAGGGAGAAAGAAGTGTTAGCAAGAATGACTGCTTGTGGGGCCAGTTTGTATTAAAACTGATGCATTGATAGGCTTGACAAGCTATTTTTGTATGACGGTGCAATGAAGAAGTGAAACACATTTTTACCTTTTGGATAGCTTTTTCCTTGTAGATTTAGTGGAACCTTAAAATAGGCTGTGCTGCCCTGCTCATTCAAAAGAAAAGTATTTAAAAATTAGAATATATGTAGAATACAAAACGCATATAGTATGCCAAAAATAGAATGTATGTTTCCTATGAAGAATTTTTAGGTAGGTAAGTCTTTTATGTTATGCTTTTTTTTGTTAGGTGATATTTATCCATGACGTTTCTTCCACTTATCGAGTGCCAATCCTGTTGGAGGAGCAAGGCATCATTAAGTATTTTAAACAGAGGTTAAATTTACCTATTGATGACCAGCCAAGTGATCTTCTAATGAAATGGAAGAAAATGGCTGACAGGTATTCTAACTCCTGCTTTTTCTAGAAGTGTTTTAATTCAAGTTAGGTTTTTAGCTGCTGTGAAGTCACCAAACTGGACTGGGGTCAGTAGCATGTTGCTGATCAACACTTGTGAATGGTCTGGGTTTAAAAACATTGCCAGTTTTGAGATTCTAGAAGATGTTTTATGAAGTTAAAGAAAAAGCAAATACTATTAAAATGTTTTCTTTGTGAAAATTGGTGTAATAACCAAAAAATTTGTTTTGTCAGATACGAAAGGTTGCTGAAGGTGTGTTCCATAGCTCTCGTTGGCAAGTACACAAAACTAAGTGATTGCTATGCATCTGTTTTCAAGGCTCTGGAACACTCTGCGCTGGCAATTAATCACAAACTGGATTTAATGGTGAGGATATTTATGGATTTTGCTTTCAGGAATACTTTGAATATACTCTACTAGTTCCCATCATGTGAGGCAGTTTTAATTCATGTGGAAATTAGAACATGAATCATGCAGATAAATACAGACTGGCCAAGCATCTCATTTTTTTAAAGACGTGTTTACAGATTTAATTATTTTATTTGGAACTAAACTTACCTGAAAGGAACACTGCAATTACCCAAAACTTGATCTGATGAAAAAGCAGACTTTACCTGCAAATTTATTTTTACTATCAAAGGTAGGTTTCACTTGTTCTCATTAGACTGCTTATCATGTTAATGAGATTAGCTTAAAGACAGGAGAAAATAGGTAAATTGGAAAGCAGTTTATTTTCTTTTTAAAATCCAGTGCCAGAAGCTGTTGCTCTTCATTTCAGTCAATATTCTGAGGGCCGTCCATTTTGTCTTCAACAGGATTCTAATGATATCAGAATTGGGCCATAAACTTATGTTTATGAATAAGTTCCTTGAATAAAGGACTATTTAGGGATCTAATTTGTCTCATTTTAATGAGAATAGAAAGTTGAACTACACGGGGAAAAACTGTTACCGGCTTTCTCACTGGTGGAGTTTGCTGAGTTTTGTTGCTAGGGTTGGCAAGTCTGGGGCAGAGAAGCAGTGTGGAAGTGTGTATTATTATCACTTAATGGTTACAGTGGACGCTTTAGCAGCTTGCAGTAGCAAAACAGTAATAAATGGTTGCAAAGTATCAGTAACAACATGCTGCTTTAGCGTGATTCATTAAATGATATAAGATAAATTGATCAAAGTGGGCAGTTGCAGGCTGTACTGCACTCAGTAGGTTTTGGTCTCTGCCTGACTCTGATCAAGGCAAGTTTGTGTGTTTATGCACTTTGGTAACTGCTGAAAATTGCAGAACCCTATGACCTTTGTTGATAATTTCCTTTTTTGTGATATAAAAAATAGAATAGATTAGAGTGAAAATTTCAGTGTGTCAAAAGCTATGCATGGGTTGCTTAGATAATGCTTGTGCGAGGCTGTTTCCATTCAGCTCTAGAAAGTTTCTCACCGGAACTAACCACTTTTTGATGAGGAGATGATTAACATCCAGCGTAGCTTAACAGGTCGCTAAAGGCAGCAGGCCAAACACATAGCCACCATTCTGTTGTCTCAGTCCATCTACCCCAGAAAGAAGCAATGGGAGCACCTAGAACAACCAGAGGTGCATATGTACTTCTTTAATGAAGCACAGAGTAATGAATACATGGGAGTCTTGTTTACAGTGATATTTCCAATGTCTTTTGGGAGAAGATGATAAGTTCCCTAAACCATGAACACTGAGTACTAAAGAAGGAATTTCTCATATCACAAACCTGGTAACATATTTCTGTTTGCTTGAGAACACAGGTCACCAGGAATGTATCACCTCAGGTGTTTTCTTTTCAGTGACTTGGTGGAGAAGGCGACTAGCCCTGTACCAAGATAGCCAATTATGTTTTGTATCCTCCCATCACTGCTTGGTTCTGATGGACTGTTAATCAGATGGTGAAGTGGTTGCAGCAGCTTGTGATGATGTAGAATGTATTGTTCACTGTTGCTTGCGCTGTTGTGGGCTCTGAAATCATCCTGTTTTCTCACAGTATCATTCTGCTACTTGTCAGCCACATCAGTGAGCTGCAAATCCTCCATCTTTTGCTTCTCATTGTTGATGTCATCCTGGAACCTTTTTAAGTAGGGGAGGCATGCCGAGATGCACAAACAAAAGCAATCTGAATTATTTTTTCTGTAGGACTTCTTTACTGAGAGAAGTGTGTTGATTTATTCTCTGGGGAGGGGGAGGAGGCCCTTCCTGACAAGAGAAAAGGGAAAAAAAAACCCAGAAACTGCTTATCTTAGTGAACTTCTGCTCTTGTCCTCTGTAAGGTATGCTGCATGTTGTAGTATAGAGACAGTTGCTACCTATAATGTAAAACAGCTAGGGAACCACTCAAGAAAACAAAATAACTTCATGTTTAATAAGAGGAAATATTTTTCTACATACTAAGGAACTTATGCATAGTGTTCACTGCTAAAAAGTATCTGTGAAATTATAAGGACTAAGCAGAATGCAAGTCAGCTTTATGTGTTTATGTGACTAAGAAGCCAATGGGTAGGTATTGTGGAAAATATTTAAAAAAAAAAAAAAAAAAGAACAACAAAAAAAACAAACCCCCCCCCCCCCCCCCCCAAAAAAAAAAAAAATCCCCAAACAACCAACCATCAGAAACTCAGCTTAGGGAAGAAATAGCTTATGTTTTAAGGCTTAAGCTGTCTCCTTTCCCTTGAAGGGAAAGGGGAGGAGGTATCATGGAGGTAAAAAATAAAATAAATATATTTGTAGGAAATAGATAAACTTTCCTCCACGGTAAGTTTTCTTCCATGATATACATACACATATAGTTGGGAAGTACTCAGACCAGTTGGACATACACAAGTCCATGGGACCAGACAAAATGCATCCCAGAGTGCTGAGGGAGGTAGCTGGTGTCATTGTGATGCCACTCTCCCATCAGCTTTGAAGGGTCATGATCATGACAACTGGGGAAGTTCTTGTTGACTGAAAAAGGGCAAATGTCGCACCAATCTTCAAAAAAGACAAAAAGGAGGATCTGGGGAAATGGCAGATGGTCAGCCTCACCTCATTCCCTGGGAAGATTATGGAGCAAATACTCCAAAAAGTTGTTTCTGTGTGAATGAAAAACAAGACAGTGGGAACAGCCAGAATTAATCCCTGAAGATTTTCAGATCCTGACTGGAAATGGCCCTGAGCAACCTGCTCTAATTTGACCTGCTTTGAGCAGGGGGTTGGGCTACAGACCTCCCAAGGCCCTTTCCGACCTAAATGATTCTGTCACTCTAAATAGTGTTTTATACTGGCAGCTCCATTGGGGGAAATTTTTATGATATGTAAAACAACTTTGCTTTTAGCAAAAAAGTAAAGGGTGCCAAGTCTGCAAATGCACAGTTAGCTTTGAGTGCAGCTAGTCTTAAGTTTGGTGGAGCTTTTGCATTAACAAGCATGTGAATTGATGATTGCTGGAGCTCCAATGCGATGCTGAAATGTTAACAGACAAGGGCTCCCACTGTACTTGCCTGCATGTGCTAACCTGCTTTTTAGTGTTTTTGTCCAAAGACTCTCCATATAATGTTCTCCTGTTTTCTGAAGGAACTGCTTAATATCGTACGTGGCATCCAGCTCTTAACCTAGCATCCACGTATCTGAATGATGAAATGAGAGTGCTGCTTGAAGTGATAAATGTGCTGGCTCAGTGTTTGGCAAGGAAACCACAATTAGCTTCAACTGTAATTAGTTTCTCTTTCCAACCTCCCAGCATGATAAAGTGTCCTTTTAGTTTATCCTATAGTATCATACTAGTATAGAATAACAACAATCATAAGTAGTTATTTTTCTGTTGTATTTTTGATGCCTTCTGGAGTGTGGAAAAAGTAGAAAACGTTTGCTAGAAGGCAGTCCTATCTGGAAAACTTTTAGCAATCTTCTTTTTGGTTTAATTTCTCCGCACACAAATGAGTTCTGTCATTTCAGATGATCTTCGTTTTATGGGGGATGGACTCTACAGCAGGATACTATTAATTATGTTATTCTGAGAAAAAGACTGACGAAACCAAGAATCAAACTCTGATCTTTGGGATCCCCAGTGCAGTACATAGCTGCCTCACTCATTTGCTTTAGCGGTACCTTAGGAGCCATGCTTATTAATGGCAGTAGACATTGTAATGCAGTATTTCTAGTAGGACATAATGAGTCTGCCTCCTTCTCTACAGTTGATGCTTTCACCCCAGGAATAGCTAGACAATGCAGGTTTATCCAGTCTGTGGTAAGATTAGATAAACTGTGGCACCTGAAAGTTAGGAAGGTGAACACCCTGGCCACATCTCATTTGGATGTCAGGATAAGGTCAGCACCACCCCTTGATTGGTGCCCTGATTTCCACAGGAAGAAAACCTGGGTACACAGTTATGGAGCATTCTACCAAGTCTGCTTACCTGGAAGACTGGAGGCAGGCAGAGCTTTGGAGCTACGTGCAAAGAAAGGGGCATGGATTACTGCAACTAGAGCAAATACTGGGTCTTCAGAGCAAATACTGGGTCTTCAGTGAAGTTGTTACGGGTTTATTGGGAAATTCACTTGGAAGTCTAATAGGTTTGTCTTGATGCTATTAAAAAGTTGGTTATATAGTATATGCTGCTCTTTCTGTGGAAGAAATGACTATTTTATTGCATATTTTTCTTTATTAGTACATAGATTCAACAGAACTTGAACGTTCTACGGAAGCAGAGAACTCAGTGAAATATCACCAGGCATGGCACAAACTGTGCAAAGCAGAGTAAGTGGCATCAGGTATTCTGTATCCCAAATGTAGACCATGATATTTATTTCATGTGATGAAAAATGCTTCAGTAAATCATTTCTCAGTGCATCCAAACTTCCGTTACTTACTTAAAGAGATAGATGTGCATGGTTGGTTACAAGCTTCAGACATAGCAAATTATAGTATCAGCCTATATCCTCAAACTCTGCCTTATTCTCTTTAGACAAGTTGCAGTTGTTTGGTTGGTTTTTTTTTTTATTTTTGGATATCTAGGCTTTCTTTACGTGCAGGTCAATTGTCAAAGATTTTTCTTTGTCAACATCCATCATAGTGAAAGGTAGTTAGATAAAAGCTTAGTGAATGCTAGTGACACTCTGCAAACGTCTCTGTTAAGAATCATTGCTGGGATTTCAATTTGTATTTGTAAAGGGATGTTGTTTGTTGTCAAAATGCATTAATTTCTTCAGTATTACTTAGACATGCAGTTTTAGTGTTAAGATCCTACAGTGCTGAATATGTAGCTAATTTATTTAAGCAATACGTATTTAAGTAGTAGGAATTTCACTGTGAAGCATGAGGTTGGTCAGATGAGAATTGGAGTAAGTAGATGAGACAAATCTCCAAATTTAGACTTAAGTTCTGTGTATTCTGAATGGTCACCCAAAACATGCCTTTCGTGCATCGTGCTTGCTTTGTTACAACCTCAAAAGTCTTTCTTCAATTTGTATGGACTTCCTTTGCTGGCTTGATTCTACATGTTGGTTGTTTTATACATGGCTGTCATTACAGTGGCATTCTGGTCCCAGGAGGGTTTGGAATTAGGGGAACGGAAGGCAAACTCCAAGCTATCTCGTGGGCAAGAACAAAGAAAAAACCTTTTCTTGGTAAGATCATTAGAGTCAGAAATTATTGTGTTTTGGAGGTGTATAGTAAGCTAATTGGTAGTAAGCTAATTGATTTGATTAAAAAAACCCACACAACAAACACACACTTGGGAAGGATCCTGTCTTAGGGAAGTACGTGTGTTGTTGTGAATATTTGCCTTATAAATAATGCCCAGGGTCATAGTCATGTACTACATCTGCTGTATAAGGAAGGAAGAGAAAGACTATTCCTACTCCAAAGGTTTTATTTGCTATATTCACATTTTATGCGGAGGGTCTTTGCTTCTCATTGTAATTAAATCAGCATCATTATAGATACTAATCTGTGCAGAAAACATAGGTGTCTTTGTACACATTTGCTATATTAAATAATTTTTGTTGATTTACTGGTATATTTTATTACGGTAAAGTCTAAAGATGCCATCTGGCCTGTAAGCTAAGTGCTGTTTGTGTAAGTGCCTCTGAAGCTTTGGTTCCTACCCCACATTTCTTACAGTTTTATAAGTGACTACTTGGACTAGTTGCCAAAGCAAAATTTGAATCTGGATATACACAGGCTTTCAGCTTCTGTTTGTCTTTATTTTTTTTATTGCTAAAATAGATGGGAGGAAAAAAGTATTTTTGAAAGGGCTTAACGCACATAATTGTGTCACATGTATTTACAGTGTGCCAAGTTTGAAGAGTGAGTTTTACACTGAGCAGCCATTTTTGTTTTAGCTTTTTGTTAAGTCTGTGTATATACACTGGGTACCAAGATTTCTAAGCAGTCAAGCTTAAGACAGAACAGCAAGTACTTTGTCAGTCCTGCCCTTTGTCCTGTTAAATTCTGGGGTTTTTGTTTTCTCTTCTAGGAGTTTGCCTGGGAATGCAATTAGCAGTTGTGGAATTTGCAAGAAACTGTTTGAATTGGAAAGGTGAGCTCGGTATGCTAGTGTGAATATGATTTGCTTAGAAGAAATTTTATTCTATGTGTGAAATGTGTATCTATTATTAGAATTATTATCTAGATCCTATGATTGTTAGGTACTTAGCTCTTGCAACATGGTAATTTTCAGCTAAGCACCCTGTGCTACTTTTCTGTACAAGGGAGTAGGAACTCTTATTATGCAGATTGCTTGAAACCTGCTTCTTGATCTAAGGCGTGTAGGAGAAAGTGTTTACAGTTCACCTCTGTAGTCCCTTTCTGGAGTGTGCAGGTGGTGAGAAGTAAAAAGTGAGAAGTGGTTTTCTCACTTGCTTTCATTAGTTGGAGTAGCCAAATCATAGTCATTGCAGTAGTAATATGAAGAGATTTAGCTCACCAATGAATTTCTACCACTAAGAGCTGAGGAAAAGGTTTTGGGAAGTAGGAAAGAGCGTGTGTGTGACTGAGGTCGTGTGCTTTCTGTGGTTGCTTTAAAAGTGATGCAGTATGTGTTTCAACATACAAGATTGTAGCTTAAATGCAGACAAGCCCTAAAATGCCACAGAACTGTTATGAGGAGTTTGTAGTGTATGTAGAACAATGGAAATGTACAGTGTTTGTTTTGAACTTCTGTTTCAGATGCAAATTCTACAGAATTTGACCCAGACACAAAAAAACCTGTTGTAAGTACTGATTTTTTTTTTTCCTGCATATGTTTCGTGAACATACATCTTTTGTTAAAAAGAGAGTTATTTCTGTGTAAGTTAAGGTCTATCTATATTTTTACATGGTAGGACATGAAGAGGTGTCCGTTGTCTCTATTGTTTAAAAGCTATTTTCTTTTAATAATCCCTTGCCTTCACCTGCTTGCTTCTGTGGTTTGCCTTAGCTTTGTTTTTGTAATTTTTCTCATAGTTTCCTTGGCTGTAGACCAATGCTGGGAGTAGACAATAATGATTAGGTTGGCTTTGCTGGAGAAAAAAATATAAAGGGAAGCTAGAAAGTGTTGCACGAAGCTATTATCAAATTATAAATGTGTATAAGAGGATAAGGATTATATGGAAAACTGACAGAAAATTCTTTATATAAATAGTATAAATAACCACTACAACCATCCTCCCCCATGCATCTCACAGTCCTCCTTTTGAGAAAAATTTCAATGCTGTAGATATGACAGGGCTCTCTGTATCATGTGCCAATGGTAGAATTTTAGAGTGGAGTTCTTCCAGGTATCTCCTAGTTCAGGAGAGTATGATATCACATTGTCATAATTGTAAAACTTAAAAATGATCAGTAAGAGAGGGTTTTTAAGAAAATGAAAAAGAACAGAAAACTACCTGTGAGAAATAAAGTGGTATCTTGGTGTAAGATGTAAAAATCTGTTCTAGGGATAAAGTGGGTTGCTCATAGTGACCTACTGTTTCTATATCAATTTCCTTCAAAAGAGTTTTGTTGGGATTTGTAAGTCAAATACACTTTTTCCACATCTGCTTAGTCTGAAACATGCACATAGGAGGCTTTTAAAGCATTTGACCTGTTTATCAAGGTAGTTTATATGCATAGGAGAGAGAATCTCATCTGAACTTTTGAAGGTAAATTAGAGACCTTCAGAGTTTCATTGTGAGACTTGCTGCTAAAACTTGGTGGCATTTGGAAATGTTCTCAAGGTGAACAAAGGTAGCCTCTGCATTTGGCATCAAATTTGTGGGTTTGCAATCGTAAAAGGTCTCTTCCTTCACCCTTCTTGAATGTATGCAAAGACATACTCTTTCTCTGGAGGGGTCAATTTCATAATAACAAAATGTTGTAAAATGTGGAAGATGTTGAAAGTTTACTGTAAATTTTTTGGGAAGCAAAAGGATGCAGGCAGATCATCAGGAGGGAGTGAGTCACCCTTTGGAACTGCTGGTTTCTCTCCATTATTCTAAGGGTTGTTCACAGTAGCTGGCTCTGATGGAGAGCTCCACACTTAGCTGAAAGTCAGGAACATGGATGCTTGTCTGCTGCAGCCATGCTGGCAGTTTCTTCTATTGCAGAAATTGTAGTGTGTATTAGTACAATATATCTAGGACAAAATTTTATTCCATAAGTAACTAACTGAGTGACTTGCAGTTTGCATTCAAGGTCAAGTAAGGTATATATGTTAAAGAGAAAATTACGTGGACGTAAAATTAAGAAAATAATGGAGTGAATGTATGTGTCATAGAAGATTAATACAGTGTTTACAATTGAAGCAGTATGCTTGCAGTATGTATAATGGATATTCTTTTGTTCTGAGCTACATTAAGGTTCTGAAATTGGTTATTACCAGTCATATTTCAACATCTTAATCTGATCTTTGACATCTCAGTTCTGGGCAAGAAACAGATGTAAATCATTCCAAAGGGGAAATTTGCACTATCAATAACTATAACTACTAAATAATCTGTCTTAGCAGATTGTGCTAAAAACTGTTTAGATATTCTATATAATAACAAATCAATAAGAACGGTTGGAAGAGAAGCAGATTAGTGAAGCTTGTGAACTACCGAACTGATGTAGATGTTTCATTATCCAAGAAAGTTAATTGGAAACACTGTATCAGCATTGATAATGTCTTGTGATGCCACTGTGTGATTCAACTGAGTGCTAACTTAGGACCAAAGTAGTACACTTTTCTTTTGGTTCCTGCTCCTTTGGAAACTGAAGAGGGAGAAGAAAGGCACTGGTGAGGCAGTAGTTCTATTTTCTTTTATTTTTAAGAAAAAGGAAAAAAGACAAAAGTTCAAATATGTAGTTTGGCAGGGGAACTCAGGGGCAACCATAAAATATGCAGCTACTTATATTCCTTCTTAATTTGCTAAGCATTCAAATACTCAGAACTGAACTCACCAAAGTTGGTAATTTCTTCTGAAGTACGTATGATGTATCTTGGTCTACTTGCTTTCCTTTTGTCTGCATCTATGGAAATTTGAACCTTTTTTTATTAGAAATAAAAACTGAGATTGTCAAGTAATCATGTAAGTCAGAATTAGGCTTCCAAAGGAAAAACAGGAGGCTGAAGTAATGAGAAATGGTATTACTGGCAGCTGGCTCCCAATTAAAATAACACAAGTTACTGTGCTATAGAAGAGCATCATCTGCATTAGTAAAAAGTTTTGAGCGTTGTAAAAGGTTTTTATGTGATGAGGCAATTGTGACTCGATCTGTTTCAAACAATAATGAATGCAGAACTGAATGTGCAAATGTAGAGAGTTGCTTGCAATGCTGAATATCTGTTTCATTTTAGCTGTTCATCTATTTCTACTGTCTATCATTACAACAATGTTGCTCAACCTGGGTTCTGCAAAAGCACCCATGAGTAACTTTATAAAGGAGGGAAACCCTGTATAACACTGTATTGCTTGTTTTGGGGAATATTGGTATCAATTATATTGGCATGTAAATGAGTGCAAGTATTGTAGAGTTAAGACTGCAAATACCTTGGGAAAAATAGTAGTCTCTGCATATAAAAAATGGAACTTAATGACTTCATAATGTAAAACAGGCAAAATTGTGTTTTTGAAATACCATAGGGGAAAAAAAAGTTCGTAAAGCTGAATATCTGTGTGATGAAAACTTAAAGGAAATGAGATCTAGAATTTGAAAATGTTATTAAGCTGTGATTTACAAGCTGTGTTTGAGAGATTTGAAGTTGCTATTAGATATTTTCATTTAGGCTTACATTAAAAATGTGTACTCAGAAGGAAAAAAAAAAAAAAGACCTCTGATATGGCAGTTATCTGTATTTACCAGACCATACCATTTACAGTACCAAAATACCACCTTAAGTTTTTGGCTTCAATTCCTCTTTAACACAGGATTGATTTCAGTAGGGAAAATGAGGGAGGTACATGAGCACTGATCACAGTCCTTCAAGTTCTTGATCTCATCTTGGTTGCTTATTTGCAGGTCATGTTCCCATTATATATTCTTAACCTTTCTGCTTTACTTTCTAGCCTTTTGGATAATAATGATAGGTAAATTGTTGTTGTTCTTTGCAGGAAGATAGCTGTTTAGAAAAGGAATGCAATTGCTTGAGAGTAGTGCTTAGTATGAGTTTTCAGTTGCAAATGATAATTTTAAAATTAACCCCTTTAAAGGGAAACTGTATAGTCTGTGAACTGCTAATGAACTGGATTCACTGGATGGCAAAACTGTTATTTATTTTGTTCCATAGCCCTTGTCTTCCTCTACTGTTAAACTTAGACTTGTTTTTTTGGATGAGCCTTTTAATTATGTTCTTTGTCAATTTTATTGCAACTGCATCTAATGCTGTTCTAGGAAAAAAAAAGACTCTTTCCAGAAATAATTCTAACACACTTTTTTTTTTTTTTTTAATTTAAAAAAGCTAATTTTAATTGTGACCATTGTTCTTCATGACCTATTGCATTTTTTGTGTAGGATCATGAAACTTCAGATATTGCACCAGGTAAAATAAGTGCATTTTCTGTGAACTCAAGAAATTGTACAGAAATAGGTTTTGCCAGTAGGTGACACTCTTATAACATGTTTGTTTCTTGATGCCTACTTTTCCTATTCAGGACGTCAGTAACCTGATTGAATTCAAAAATTTCTAAGGTTGTCTAAGAGATGAAGAGGAATGTACGTCCCACTCATGCAAAAGCTCTTCTTAAAATTCTGTGATTTTACTTATGTGTGTAAAGTAGCTAACTTAGCTTAGTAAGGAAACATGTGTGGGGTATATTTAGTTTTGAAATCAAAGCATATTGTTAATTTAGAATACAATTTTTTTTCATAAACCAGAAAAAAAAAAACAAAAACGATTTTATTTTCTTCCAAGAAACATAACACATTGTAACAACCGAAGGGTTTGCATAAAAGAATGGCCCAGGAGCCGGTTAGAACATTCATATAATGTTTAAATGTCATCGTTTTTGAGGCTTCTATTCATGCATCACTGGTGTGCAGTACTTTATTCCTCATTTCATGGAGGGGAAATTCAGGGATAGGAACCACAGTAGTATGGGATCTTGAATGCACTTGATAGGCTTTGCAATTAAGTTGAGTCTCTAAATCCTTAAATAACTCTGAGATCTAACTGATTTATCAGGGTAATGGGTGATGTTGGTGTTAAAATTCAGTCCAAAATTCCAAGTTCTCTAGGATGATTAGTGCCTAATCTACTGAATTACTTGTCTTCAAAATTTCCATTCTTCTCATTTCTTTTCTTTCTCTCTAATTTCCTCTTAAAGTAAATAATAATGCCCATGAATTACATATGTGAAAATACATATGTCACAGGGAATCATGCAATGAAAAGGTTAAAACTGCACCAAATAAATGTAATGAATATTTTAATTGCAACAGCAATCGCTCTGTTCCTATATATACTTATGTATTCCCATTTACAAGAGTCATAACAAAAAAAAGTACATACTTATGTAAATGTAATTTAAAGGTAATGTTATAGTCATCATACTTAGCATTGTTACATTGTTGTTGAAAATAAGTACTTTATGTTTTAAAAATTTGAACTTTTTACCGTATGGAAGAGTCGCCTTACTTGAATGATAAAACTGAACCGGGAGGAGTATTGGATAATATACACTAGGGGACACTCCTCAAATGGAATGATACATCTTTCATTTTGTGTGTGTTAGAAACCATTTGATTTGAATTGCTATAGAGGTCAAAATAATAGCTCAGGTAAAGCAGGGATTGTTAGACGACACTTTCTCAAATGTAGCGTGAAATAGAAACAGGTAGTTCTGAACTAATTGTGAGGCAGCTTAGCTGGAAAATGGGGCTAGTGAATGTGCAGGAAACACAGTACAAGGCATACTTTATCTGTCAAATCTTTATTCTGTACGTTTTAAAATCGTAACAAATCTGTGGATTTAGGTGTACGTATAATGTACACAAACGCCAGGCTCTTCTCCTTCAAAGCAGTGATATTCTTTCTTGCAGATGCCTTACTGTCCTGTACCAGTTATCTTTTTTACAAGCATCACAAACTCATCAAAGCTGACACTTCCATCATTATTTTTGTCCAACGATTTAATTATGTTATCAAGTGAGAATGAATCCTGTTTTTATAGGAAAAGAATTAAAAAAAAAAAAAAAAAAAGAAATAAATAGATTGCCGTAACTATTTTCCTATGAGGAATATTGCCAAGAAGTGATGCAGTCAATAACAGTCAGTGTTACTTGAAGGTTTATTGTGTTAACCAGTTTTACTGGTTGAACTAGAAATACAGTGCCTGCTCCCTCCTGCCAAAAATGTTAACAAAGATATGATAACCATTTGAGAAGTATCAAGTATTACTCGGACACGTTACTTCAGTCTTGTGGGTAAATTTGGAATTTAGGAAATGGAGCAGGTGGAATAGCTGCAGCGTGTACATAGTCACCA